CAACAACCATATTTCACAAATCACTTATTTCAGCAGCAAACCATTTTTCCTCTCATCCCGTCCAATTAACTAATTTACTGTTAAATCGCTGAATTGGTAATCCCTTCAGTCGATGAAATAAAAGTCATAATCGTTGGCAGGCTAACCACTAAACGTGTCAGCGCTGAACAGAGAAATTGGAAGAGTTGCCAGCTGCACAGCTGGACTATCATGTTATGAAGTACAGCTGATCAGATTATTAAAATAAGTACAGCTGCCAATTTAATAAATTTATTACGTCAAAGTCAATGTATGTACAAAAATAACCAGTCGCAAACTTGAAGGCTTCTATTGAAAATGGCTTGAAAAACTAATTGCTCCAAAAATTTACTGGATTTATGGTGTTCTGAATTCGCTGCAGAAGCGAACCTCCGCTGGCCAGCTCCATGACGATCATGAGTGGGTCCTTCGAGGTTGCTACACCGTACAGTTTGATAATATTCGGATGACTTAATTTCAGCATTAGATTCGCTTCGCGTAAAAATTTGGCACGCTCTTCGGCGCTGATATTTCCCGTATGTAATGATTTGACTGCCACCGGGATCTGTCCGCGAAATACACCAAGATTTAGAGTGCCCTCCCAGACCTCACCAAACGCACCCTCGCCGATTTTTTTAATTCGTTCTATCTGCAACATAAACGTGGATTATCAGTGTAGAATTAGCAGAAAATTAAAAAAAAATAAAATTCATTACGCCGGTGAATAACAAAGTATCAGTTATAGCGCTTATACCAAGGCATCTTGACCGCTGCTGACTACCATGTTAGTGATGTTACTGGAATGTTCCCACACATTATCACAGCTGTGGTAGGCTCTCTGATTCTGGGCTGCATACCTCAAGCCAGCGCCACCGCCTGCTTGGATGTCTGTGCTTTTTTAAGAAGAAAATCTGTGCTTGAGTCTACAGATCGGAGCACAAAGAAGTAGGAAGTCATTTAATGCCTAATATGAACATCGGCCACTGTGTTCCACCGATTTGAACGGTTCAGGCTTGAATTTTTGAGGCTGAATTATATGGACAGATATCTACAATTACCACAGATACAGGGGCAAACGGATGGACAGATAAAGAGAAACACTGAGGCACGCCGTGATCAAGAAATGGCATTCCGTTTCTTCTCAGTGAATAAAAATATTATGTTTATATGCAGTAAAAGGAAAATTTTTAAATATAAACAATTTTTATCACTTTACAGCTTGTTAATGAGGCATTTGTTTGGCTGTGTAACATATTCTAGAAGTGTTTTTTTCCTCACAATTACTTCTGCTTCTATTAGTTCCGGATCGGTGAAAATTCGTGCGACTAAATTCACCTGCTCGTGGGCAAGTTGCCAGTTGCTTTTAACGACACCTCTGATTATACAGACGTTGTCCTGGTTGAGAGGCTTTTTCAGGCGCGTGTGATATGCCACTAGATCGGAAATCGTCTTGAATGCATAGGTGTGCACATAGTACAATCGTCTCTGTGCATAACGTTTAATTATCAATTCATTTTTATACATTTATTGGCATCATATCATGATCAGTTGCGGCCGCTTATCAGCAGATTTGTCAGAGCCAGACTAGAGTAAATTTCTTTAAACTCCTGGGCCTATTTTTGTTTATATTCATTCCATAGTAATGACTGGAACAACAATATGGAATCAAGTGAGAGAGAATGGCTCAAAACAGGAAAAAGCGTACTTGTGTGGACATAACTATTAATGTTGCATTTACTGTATTCAATATAATTTTGTATATTCTCACTTTTTACGCTTCGGGCTCATACGTCACTAAACAGTAAGGTTGTAAGCTGTTGGGGAAAATAAAAACGAAAATTAACGATTGAAGAAGTTGCCAGCTGCACTGATGGCAAGAAATGTTTACGACCACACAAGCACATGTCAGTTTCATCCATTAGCCAGCACACCGACTACGGATGCGAAGATGCCTTTTTTGCATAGTTCCTCCCGGCAAATGCTTTTAAATAAAGGTATTGAGACTGGCTACCATGAATGTCAGAAATTATTACAGTGACACCCAATCCTTCCTCAAATATTTCAGCACTCCAGCTACTCTGGTTGCGGAATTGCATCAAATTTCATGTGCTCGTACGTGAGGGAAAAGGCGAATGCTGTTTTCGTGTGGCCTTGCTCAAAGACGGTCCTGAACCTCGCTCGGAAAATTTCGGCGCTCCAGTTGTTTTGGTTGGGGAGCTGCATCAAAGTTCACATGTACGAACGTGAGACATAAAGGGGACGTGAAAATCATTTTTACGTCCACCTAGTTAAATGGCGCCACCAGTTATGGTCAGAAAGTTTCAATCCTCTAGCTACTTCAGTTCCCAAATTACAAAACTGTCTGCGATAAGATTTCACGTGTTCGTACGTGAGGCACAGAAGAGCTGGAAAGTTCAATTTACATTCACAGACACATCA